CAATTTGGTTTACATTTTTTGAAAATGTTTTACATTTTATTACAATTTTACATTTTTTTACAATTTTACATTTTTTTTACAATTTTTACAATTTTTATAATTTTTTTGCAATTTTTTTTACAATTTTTTACAATTTTTATAATTTTTACATTTTTTGAAAATGTTTTAAAATTTTATATTTTTTACAATTTTTACATTTTTTTTTAATTTTTTCCACATTTTTTATAATTTTTTTACATTTTTTCCAATTTTGTTTTAATTTTTTATTATTAATGTCACGTGTATCCTACGTGTCGAACACGCACATGCCACGTAGGCGCCATGTAGGCGCTTTCTGCCTATGTGGCAAAATTAATCCTGTTCTGATGAGGATTTTGTTAAAATTTAAATTTCGAATGATTTTTTAGAAAAAAATTTCAAATCCAGTATGAATTTGAAAATTTTAATTGGATGATTTTTTTGGGAATTTAATTCCAAAACCGGTGGAGGTAGGGCTGGTTGGGTGACGTCATCAGCACGTGACTTTATGAACAGTGAGGCACGTGGGCTCCAGAACGGCGCCGTTTCCTTATGTGGGGGTGATGAGGGGGTAACTTGGCCAGATCCAAGATTCTTCAACAAATAGCTCTTTGACTTTTCCACGACTTTGACTTAGTCGTGTCCGAAGCTTTTCTACGATCTAATCTCACAACCAACAACATGCCTTCCTTTTCTTCGGGGGAAATTTTATACATATATATATATAACTATGGAATTTTCTCCGCCACAATTGTAAATTGTAATATATATAATTTTCATCTAGTACATGTTTATTATAGTTCAATCTAAAACAAAATAGTGACATAAATTATATATAGACACATGATATAATTGGATAACGTGTATGTACAGACATGTTGGGCATTCATGATGATCAAAATAATAGAACTTGTATATCAATATTGTGCATGGCAGATCCAACTCACACGAATTTGTCAAGTAGCCATTTTTTTTGTTATGGATTTGAGTGGATCTAAAAAAATATATTATTAAAAACATATAGTAATAATTTGTTTGTATTTCCTTTAACAAAAAAATAATAATTTGTTTGTATTTCGGGAATACAAAGTGCCATTTCGGTTATTAATCGAATAATCGAACCGAACCGACTAAGACATACCTGTATTCGAACCGACTAAGACATAACTGTATTCGAACCGTGATGATTTTTTTAAACCCGAAAAAATTGAAACCGAACTAAATGAAAAAATAACCGAAAAAATCAATAATTTCTTTTAAAAAATGAATGTTTTATCGAAACCGAATCGAACCGAACCGAACTAAAATTTATATAAAAAGTGAATGGTTATAGAAAACTATAACCAAAATAACCAAAGTCAAACCCGAAATGGCCACCCCTACATACATACATGTAATTAAACAAAATAATGGAATCGATAGTGTTTATAAAATTTGAAAAAAAATGATTTCTAAAATAAACTAAAAGTAAATAAAAAATAAAAAGGTGAAATTTTGGTAGTTGCCGTCGTTCGTTGCGTGCTTGGTCCGGACCGCTGTTTGATTCGATCGTATATACTCTCCGTCCATTCAACAGCGTTCAGATCGCCAGTGAAATGTCGGTTTTACCCTTATGATCTTCATTAAATCTTCTCCGACTGGTCGCCGTTTCGTTGGTCAATTTGGTCCACCCAAGTAAGCAGGAACGTTAGATTATTTCCCCTCGAGAAATTTCTAATATCTTTTTTTTTTCTTTTCCCTAGAAAATTCTCCAATCTAATAAAGTAACAACCATTTGACATTTGGGAATAAAAAGAAAATAAACCAATATTTTGTTTATTTGAACTTTTGTATATACGTGTGGAAATTTTATTTTATTTTATCACGAATTTGTATCCTATTTTTTTTTAATAAAAGAGATCTTTGGATTTAATTAGAATAAATTTATAAATTTGAACAGAAAAATCTTTGGATTTACCTCTTCCGAAAAGAGAAGTTTGGATTTTACCAATTTAACATTATCTAAGGGAGATAAATCCTACGAGCCAAATAATACAAACACGGGAAACCAATAGAATAAAAGCCAACCAATGGTAAAATTTCTCACCTTTTTTTATTAATTAATTAATTAAAATAATGAGTGATATTATTTTCTTCCCATCGTTTTTTTTTCTTTATTTTTTTTTCAAACGCAGTAATCTTAAATATTAATCTCTGACTCAAATTTTCCTTCCTCTCTCTTGATCCGAACCGGCGTTTGCTGTATTCTTCGTCTTCTTCTCTGTTTCAGCCATTCTCTTCATATCAGAGAGAGAGAGAGAGAGAGAGAGAGAGAGGGCGGAGGGAGGGAGAGAGATCAGAAGAAGAAGAGACGATACGAATCCGTGAGAAGGAATAACAGAAGAGAATCGAAACTGCAGAGGAAGGGGCGTTTACATATGTATATATACATTTATACGTATATGCAATACAATATATACGTTTATTTGCATACGAAGCTCTGAGTTCTTCGATTGCCAAGAGTTGACGGGGAAACAGACAAGGGATCGAAATCCTGGGTTCTGGTTCTGGTGGCGGAAATACGGAGAGTCGCGCGTTGTGTGGGGATCTGGTTTTGTCGAAATCTCGGGTACGCTTTTCGCGACTTATGGTGTTCCTTTACGTTGGCGCGTGGAATGGAAGCGTTAGGGTGTTACTGTGGTAAATTCGAATTTTGATTATTTGTTCGGATTATGCGATTAGCTGGGAATGAATCGGATTTTGTTTTGGGTGTGGAAAATTTGAAGTGGGAAACAGTGAAACTGGGACATTGGAGTTTCTTTGATATCGTCCTGTAGGTGGTAATTTTCCGGGAAATTGAATGGATTTTCCTGGAATTTTTTACCCATCGTGGGAATGGTTAATTGGGGATGTTTATGTAGAAGCAACGTGGTGTTTTTTGTGCTTTAGGTCTCGTTTGAATTTGTTATTTGGAGCGTGGAGGCTGGTTTGACTTTCCTCGTCTTGATGCTTGTTCGTTCTATGGTTTGGATAGGTAGAACTTGGTGATGGTGGTTGGACTAAATCTGAAAAAAAATTGGATTGGAAATTTGTTCTTCAAAGTTTCCCTCTTTTCCTTTCTTGATGCGTTTGGATTGAATTCTTTATGGTGTGGTTTTGTTCCGACATGGGATATTGTGAGAAAAAGGTAAGATTTCGTTTTTCCCTTCAGGGAAAGAACAGTGAAAGTTTCCTCCCACAGAGACTATGCTTTAAAATTTGGTTTCACATTTGCAAAGCTGGTTGGTTTGCATGATGAGGTTTTGGTTTCTGGCATTTGTTCTGTCCAATTTTCTTAAATCTTGATCTGCTTTTGTTTATGGAATCATTTTTTATGGCGTTGTTCATTTATCTCTTTCTCTCCTGTATGTTTAGATATATACGGATGTGTGATGATCATGGCTTACAGATTTCATCATCTCTGTTTCATCCAGGTCTCCATCTGTTCAAGTTGGCCTGTTGAATTCTCTCATTTCAGCTGAAAGAACTTTATCCCCTTAGTGTAGGTAGTAGGTAAAAAAATATAAAAAAAAATTGAGATTGAGGTGTAAAGGTATAGTTTTGATGAGATGAAGGCGGTAAAGGGATGGCGTCTAGGCAGTTTAGGCGATATCCAGTCTTTGCCAGGGGCTCGCCATCGTGCTCATACAAGGAGGCCAGTATGGATCATTGTGGTGCTTTCACTGATCAGCATGCTCTTGATCTGTGCTTATATGTACCCTCATCACAGTAAAGCTGCATGTTATATGATCTCCTCGAAAGGATGCAAGGCATTAGCTGATTGGCTTCCGCCTTCTCCGAGAGAATATACCGATGAGGAGATATCAGCCCGTGTAGTGATTAGGGAAATTTTGGATTCACCCCCGGTTAAAAGGAGAAACTCTAAGATTGCATTCATGTTCTTAACTCCTGGTTCATTGCCTTTTGAGAAGCTGTGGGATCGATTTTTCCAGGTAGACTTCATTCCTATCCAAGTTCTTCGTTTTATTGCAGCTATTATAGACGATTCTTTTGAAATGCTCATGCTACAAAACACACGGTTTTGAAATACGAAACATCGTATTTTTTAGGACCTTTTCTTGAATTTATATCTCTGACCGAGCTTTTGCGTTTGCGGGTTTCTCCCTCGTCATAGGGTCATGAAGGAAAATTCTCCATTTACATCCATGCTTCAAAGGAAAGACCAAGTCATGTCAGTCCCTACTTTGTTGACCGTGAAATTCGCAGTGATGAGGTTTGTTTCGTTTTCTGTATGCATCATATTACTATACTGAAAGCATATTACCTCTGGAATGGCTTTATTTTACACAATATTTCTGATATACTTGATTATGGTAAAAGACATATATCATGTTTATATTTGAAGGTGGTCTGGGGAGGAATATCGATGATTGATGCCGAGAGACGATTGTTAGCAAATGCTCTCAGAGATCCTGAGAACCAGCAATTTGTTTTGCTTTCTGACAGGTTTATTTTCGACAATTGTAATTCATTCTCGTCGATTATTTTAGGTCGTCTGACCAGTGAGTGTTTTTGGTTTTGCAGTTGTGTACCGTTACGCAGTTTCGAATACATTTACAACTATCTGATGTATACCAATATCAGCTTTGTTGACTGGTAAGAATATTTTGTTCATGGAATTTCTTCATGTTCCAACTATTCTTCTTCTCTTCTTTTTCGTGAACTTTTATTATTGAGTGCCATCACTCTCCTGATATTTGTTCTTTCTTCTCTTCAGCTTTGATGATCCAGGTCCACATGGATCGGGCAGGCATATGGATCACATGTTGCCAGAAATTCCAAAGAAGGATTTCCGAAAGGGTGCACAGGTAAAAGCATGTCTTCATCGATCCATCATAATTCTTGCCTCATGCTGTGGAAACGCTAGCCAAACCGAAAAATAATCAGAATAAGTATCTGATTCTGTTTCAATAACTACCTGTGTTGACATGACAGTAGGCTGTAACATGAATGTTTTTACAGATCAGTTAGCGTCCCTTGTGTTTCTTATAGTTTTTTCGGTACCAAATCTTGAGATCTTCTTGTAAAAATGCATTTCTGTTACGAGAAACGGTTCCAAAATTTCCTTTTCTTTCATGGTTAGTGAAGTACCCTTTGTCGAAACTTGTGCAGTGGTTCACCATGAAGCGACAACACGCCGTGGTAATCATGGCTGATAGTCTTTACTATTCGAAATTCCGAGACTACTGCCGGGTGAGTTCAGCTAAAACCGAGGCTACTGATTGTTTCTATCGTCGTCTTATCCGACCACCGATTAAACAGAGAGCTTTAAATTTCTTCAGCCAGGTGTAGAGGGCAACAAGAACTGCATAGCTGATGAGCATTACTTGCCTACCTTCTTCCATGTGAGAATCCTTGCTTCTATAAAGAAAGAATGTTGCGGTTTATCTGATAGATTTTCGTCGCTATAAATTTTCAGATGCTCGATCCCGGAGGCATTTCTAACTGGACTGTAACACATGTTGATTGGTCCGAGAGAAAGTGGCATCCTAAAACATACTTGCCTGAGGATATTACCCCCAAGTTCTTGAAGAATCTCACGGTATTGTCAAATGTTTGATCTAGCCGATATTTACTCGTTAATTCTGAAAGGAGAATCTGCATTTAACCAGTGTCATTTTCTTCATCTGCAGTCCATCGATACATACTTGCATGTAACAAGCCTCGGGAAGGTACAGAATAGTCACCTGTCAGTACTTTCAGCTGGTTTTCAGTTTGATGATCATATAGGATCGGGTTTCTTATAATTCAGGGAGAAGAAACATACTCGCCTTGCTTGTGGAATGGCATCAAGAGACCATGCTACTTGTTTGGAAGGAAATTCCACCCGAAAACGCTCGACAAACTGTTGGATCTCTTCGCCAATTACACAAGCATCGCTTAGGGTTTACACTTTACATCATGTGTTTGAGATATTTCCCGATATGAATTCTTTTGACCGAGATGCAGTTACCCCAAATCCCGGGTGAATTCAGTTACCTTGAGGAGTGTTCAGAGCCCTTTCAGAGCTGCATACTGCAGAAAGTCTCTCTCTCGACCAGAAACTTACTTTCAGACAAGACAAGTGACTCAGAGGCTATACAAAGGCTTTTCATATGTCGTGTGTGCTTCACATTTGCTTTTGGGATGTAGGGGTTTTTAACGATATTAACTGCTATAATGGCCATTTCTTTTCTCATATTTTTCATTTGCTCTCATCATCAGTGTTAGAGAATTTCCATGTGCCTTCATTTTTTTTTACAGACTATATTTTTTTTTTGTAATTGAAATCATTCAATACCATCATTAATATTGGATCAATAAATAGGGAACCTAATTGGTAATTTAAGATTAAAATCAGAGATATGCAAATACCTTTATGTTAAGTTACTATTTTTTTTATGAAATAATATAATTTAAATTCCTAATCTTTCTAGCAAGACAACATTTTTTCATCTGTCTGCATCAAATGTGTCATTTCTTACCTGTTACAAATTTTAGGATATTATTATCACAAGTTTCCATTACATTGTTTTTTTTTTCATTTTGAAATCGCATATTTGAGTCATAAATAGGATTTGGTTACAAGAGTTGGGAGCAATTGTCAATTCCTTTTTTGGGTTTTTTCTTTTTGTGATTTTATTCGATTTTGTTGTTAAGAATTATATCGTCCGTCTTTGAATGGTATATATGCGATGATACTAACTTTTTTCTCCTCAATAGTTATAATAGCTTTCGAAATCCTTCGTGGTCTAATAGACAATAATAGTGAAATAGTTTATTAATCATATTCAGTTTGATTTGAAATAAATTGGACTAATTACAACATATTGACAACATAAGAAAACACTTACACATACATTAAAAAAAATAGTAATATATTTATTCAATATTCAACTCAATAATTTTTAAAAATATGTTTATTAAAGAAAAATATAGTTAATGTATTTATAATTAAGTTAAAACCCATAAATTAAACAAAATTAAATGTTTTTATATAATTGTATAAAGATCGAGAATCATCTGATTTTTCAGAGGTTTTAATTTTAAAATTTTAATTTTTTAAATATTTTATGTTGATAAAAAGTATAAACCTTTTATAGAAAATTAATTTATAAACCATAGAAAAAGAAAGACAACAAAAATACGAAAATCAATACTGAAAATGGGAAAAAGCTATTAAAGAAAGAAGATTAGTACTTTTCCGTTTAGAGATAATTTGATTTTTTTATTGTGAAAGAATAAAAATATTTGAATAAAATAAATAAGTAGCCTATTAGTTTACTAATTAGATTAGAATTAGTCACAGATGATAAATTATCAATTAGATTATAGTTAGAAATATATTATAAGTTTCATTAAGAAAATGAAAAGTGAACTAGGATTCCACCTTGATAAATTGTGTCAACATATACTTAATTTGAACTTTAGTGCTTAGCACTATAAATTACTACTCTCATTCTTCCCTCATTTTATATTTTCATATTTACATCTAAAAAAAATCAAATGACGAAACTCTTTACAATCTTCATCATCTTTGTTATCCTCGTACTATTTTCAGATTAGATCTGATTTGATTTAATGCATTCATAAATAAAACAATGCTTTTATATATATATATATAAATATATAATTATCCTTAATGTTATACAATTCGATGATTTATACTAGAAATCGTAGTATGGAGAAGTAGAAAGGTTTTTTTTCAAACTATATAGATATATTCTTATATCTCATTATAACTTTTATGTATGTATATATATCTATATATATTCCACTTGCATTGCATCGCATCGAATGTTCTGATAATTTTGTGTATCCTACAATTTTTTTCTTTCAAAAATATCCCTAGTAACAACGGTTGGAATATTCAGATTTATATTCGGAAAATACGAGAATCTTATTCTAAGATTGTATTCAAATTCAATATTTATAGATATTCGAAATATGAATATCCGAGATAATAATTAGATATTTGAAATAATAGTATCTATCAATGGTGGATCTAGAGAAAATGATGAAATGGAGCAATAATTTTATAAATGTGATTTTATCTAGACAAATTTTATTTCAATAGGGCATTTAACATTTTTATCTATAATTTTATAAAATTTACAATTAAAGTTATATATTTTTTAATTAATTACGGGGGTTGTGACCCACATCCTATAAGGTGAGACTGGTGGGCTGGGTCTGCTACGGGCCAGTATCCACGTTTATTTAATAATAAATAACGATTTTTATATAGAAACTAAAATTAAAAAAAAATTAAAGTGTGATTTTACAAAGAGAATACATGAAAGAGGGAGCTAGCGAGATACAGGAAAATGAGTGTAGTGGCATGAAGACAAATTGAAAAATGTAGAATTTTTAAACCTAAAATAATGATTTTTGTTTAAAAAATTATAAATATTTAGGATATAATTGTTTATAACAAAAGTATTCAGATATCCAACAATACTCCTTTTTGAAATCACGTTAACCGGATATGAGATTCGGAATCTAGATTTTTGTGGATATTCGATTTTACAAAAATTTTGTCAAGCCCTATTAGATAAGTACCAATTTAGTTGACACATATTCAATATTTTAATACACATATATATAAAAAACAAATCGACAACTATGAACATGATGATGATGATGACGTGGAAAAAAATGAAGGTGGGACCAAGGTGGTAAGGAGCCGTGAAGGTGCGGTAGCGGCAGGAAGGCGGTGAGGGAGACATCGTCGCAGTGCGTGGTAGGGCTCGGCGGCTGCTCCACCGACTGTTCCGACTATTGCTGCAACATCAAGTGTTTAATGGCACACCCCAACGGTCGCGGTTACTGTGATAACATCGGTTCCATCTATCTCTATAACTGCGCTTATGATTGCTGATTCATCATTATGATGTGATGATGGTGATCAATCATGATGTCATTCCCAATCTATATCGATATAGTACAATGGACCATAAATGTGGGATTTATCTCGATTTCATACCAATAATTGAAATGTGAAAATTTTCATACAGCATTTTCGGAATTTAAAAGTTTGTATCCATGTCATCATGATGACCATGATGATGCCATTCGGAATCTATTTCCATATGGCCCAATGTTGCATGTACGAGGGCCTTATTTCAATGAATGGAATTATGGAATATAATTTTTTTTCACACTCTTTCAAGATTTTAATATTGCATCAATATCATGATGTTCATGATGATAATGCCATTCATTATGGTCCAATGGAATATACGTGGGCTGTCTCGGCCCTGTTATTTTCGGCCCATATCAATAATTTGAGATATATATTTTTTCTCTCTATCTGCTTGTTTTAATGTTATCTTTCAAAATTGAAAATTTTAATTTTGTATGGATATCATGATGATTGCGATATTTGATGATGCCATGGAACATATATGTGGGCTTTATTTTGGGCCTGTTACTTTGGGCCCAGGTCAATAATTTGAAATAAAAAAATTTCTACAACCGTCTGAGCAAAATCAGGTCATTCAATGCCATAATTAATATTGGGTCAATAAATAGGGAAACCTAATTGGTAATGTAAGATTAAATTTACAGAGATGCAAATACCTTTATGTTAAGTTATTATTTTTTATTACATAATATAATCTAAACTTTTACCCTATCAGTTCTAGCAAGACAACAGTTTTTCATCTGTCTGCATCAAATGTATCATTTCTTACGCGTTACAAATTTTAGAATATTATTATTACAATTATCCATTACAATGTTTTTTTCCATTTTTATATCTTATATTTGAGTCTTTAAATAGGATTTGGTTACAATAATTGGGAACAGTTATCAATTCCCTTTTTAGATTTTTTCTCCTTGCGATTTTGTTCGATTAATTGTTAAGAGTTGTATCACCCGTTTTTGAATGATATATATACGATAATATTGACTTTTGTTCTTCAATCATTATAATAGATTTTAAAATCGGTAGTCAATAAGAGTGAAATAGTTTATTAATCATATTCCGTTTGATTTGAAATAAATTGGACTAGTTACACCATATTGGCAACATAAGAAAACACTTACATCTACATAAAAAAAAATAGTAATATATTTATTCAATATTCAACTAAGTTATATTTTAAAAAATATATTTATCAAAGAAAAAATATAGTTAATATATTTAAAACTAAGTCAAACCCCATAAATTAAACAAAATTAAATATTTTTATATAATTTTATAATTCTTGAGAATCATCTGAATTTTCAGAGATGTTAATTTTTAAAATTTTAATTTTTTTAAAATATTTTATTTTATGTTGGTAAAAAAATATAAACCTTTTATAGAAAAATTAATTTATAAACCATAAAAAAAGAAGGACAACGAAAAAACGTAAGTTAATACTGGAAATGGAAGAGAAAAAAAGCTATTAAAGAAAAAAAGATTAGTAATTTTCCCTTTAGAGATAATTTGATTTTTAATTATAAAAGAATAAATAAATTTAAATAAAACAAATAAATAATCTATTAATTTCTTAATTAGATTAAAATTAGACACATATGATAAATTATCAATTAGATTATAGTTAGAAATATATGATAAGTTTTATTAATAAAAGGAAAAGTGAACTCGGATTCCAGCCTAATAAATTGTGTAAATATATATTTAATTTGAATATTGCACTATAAATTACTACTCTCATTTTGACATCTCCTTCACATCCATCTATCCCTCATTTTATATTTTCATATTTACATCGAAAAAGAAAAGATAAATCAAATGGCAAAATTCTCTGCAATCTTCTTCCTCTTTGTTGTTCTCGTACTATTTTCAGGTTAGATCTGATTTGATTTAATATATTTATAAATAAAATAATATATTACATATATATATATAATTTATTTTTTATACAATTCGATGATTTATACTAGAAATCATAGTATAAATAATTATAACTTTTATGTGTGTATATATGTATATTCCACTTGCATTGCATCGCATAAATGCCCCAAGAATCTTGTGTATTCTATAATTTTTTTTTTCTTTTAAAAACTATTATTGTTCAGACTATTCAGATATATATTCGAAAAAGTATGAGTATCTCATTTAGAGATTATATTCAAATTCAATATTTATAAATATTTGGATTACGAATATCAGAGATAATAATAGGGTATTCGAGATAATAGTATCCACGATCATTTAATAAAAAAAATAATGACGTTTATATACAATCTAAAAAAAATTAAAGTGGGATTTTCGGAAAATTTCCCGATTGGATAAGTACCAATTTTATTTATTTATTTTTTGGTAAAAAGATAATTACCAATTTAGTTGACACATATTCCATATTGTAACATACACATGTACATATATATATACTATAAAAAACAAACCGACAACTATGAATGTGACGTGTATGATGATGATGACGTGTGAAAAAATGAAGGTGGAGCCAAAGTGGTAAGGGGCCGTGAAGGTGCAGTGGCGGCAGCAGAAGAGAAGGCGGTGAGGGAGACATCGTCGAAGTGCGTGATAGGGCTCGGTGGCTGCTCCGCCGACTGTTCCGACAATTGCTGTAACACCAAGTGTTTAACGGCATACCCTAACGGTCGCGGTTACTGCGATAACATCGGTTCCAACTATCTCTGTAACTGTGCTTACGATTGCTGATTCATCATCATCATCATGTGATGTGATGATGGTGAGCAATCATGATGTCATTCCCAACTATATCCATATGGTAGAATAGATCATAAATGTGGGATTTATCTCGATTTCATACCAATAAGTGAAATGTGAAATTTTTCATACAGCATTTTCGGAATCTAAAGTTTGTTTCCATGTCATCATGATGCCATTCGGAATCTATTTCCATATGGTCCAATGTTGCATATATGTGGGCTTTATTTTGGGTTCATTTCAATGAATGAAATTTTCAAGATTTTAACTTTGTATCAATATCATGATGTTCATGATATTGATGCCATTCAATATGGTCCAATGGAATATACGTGGGCTTTATCTCGGGCCTATAATTTTTTGTCCATGTTACAAATTTTAGGATATTATTATCATAAGTTTCCATTACATTGTTTTTTTTTTTTCCATTTTGAAATCCCATATTTGAGTCATAAATAGGATTTGGTTGCAACAATTGGGAGCAATTGTCAATTCTCTTCTTGGGTTTTTTCTTTTTGTGATTTTGTTTGATTAATTATTAAGAGTTGTATTAATCCCCCCTCAATCGTTATAATAGATTTTAAAATCCGTCGTAGTCTGGTAGATAATCACAGTGAAGTAGTTTATTAATTATATTCAGTTTGATTTAAAATAAATTGGACTAATTACAACATATTGAAAACATAAGAAAACACTTACATATACATAAAAAGTAGTAATATATTTATTCAATATTCAACTCAATGATTTTAAAAAATATGTTTATTAAAGAAAAATATAGTTAATATATTTATAATTAAGTTAAAACCTATAAATTAAACAAAATTAAATCTTTTTATATAATTTATAAAGATCGAGAATCATCTGATTTTTCAGAGGTTTTAATTTTAAAGTTTTAAATTTTTTTAATATTTTATATTGGTAAAAAGTATAAACCTTTTATAGAAAATTAATTTATAAACAATAAAAAAAGAAAGACAACCAAAACACGAAATTCAATATTGAAAATGGGAAAAGCTGAAGATTAGTACTTTTCCATTTAGAGATAATTTGATTTTTAATTGTGAAAGAATAAAAATATTTGAATAAAATAAAGGAAAAAACCCTAAAAATTAATGAACTTGTAATTTGGAGTAATATTAATTCTTAAACTTGTAGAGGTACTTATTAATTCCTACACTTGCAAAATTGAACACGTTAAATCCTGAACTTGTTAATCAGTTTTATAATCGTCCATATCGTTATTTGATAAAAAAAACGAATTGACCGATCCGACATGGCGTGTAACGTGGCGGTAATTTTCTGAGTTGGCTCGCCACGTCACGCGCCACGTCGGATCGGTCAACTCGTTTTTTGACCAAATAACGCTGTGGACGATTATGGAACCGTTTAACAAGTTCAGGATTTAACGTGTTCAATTTTGTAAGTTTGGCAATTAATAGGCACACTTACAAGTTTAGGAATTAATATTACTCCAAAATACAAGTTCAAAAATTTTTAGGATTTTTTTTCTAAAAAAATAAAAAGATAAGATAACGAATTACAAGAAGAGGAGTAGCCTAAGTAAGTAGTATTGCTACTGTGAACTGACAAATCATGACATAGCATGAATCATGTAAAAATATACACACAAATATATATATATATATAACGACTTTAGTTATATAATTTTAGGACCAGATGTTTAGATCTTTTACAATAATTTTGAAATAGAGGAAACATAAACTTTTTTTAAGTTATAAAAAACATGCAATATCATACCAGTACATTTTGTTATAATAACAACTATATTTTGTTATAGAGAAAATAATCTAATAGTGATAGTTTTTCTATTAAATATTCAAAATCTTAATATGATTATGAATTGTTTTAGAAAAAAATACATTAAAAAGGATATTTGAAAACAATACATTTAATTTAGAAATATCCTTTTTAATATAATTTTTTCTAAAACAATTCATAACCAATTTAGAAATTAAAAGATACTCAAACTTTATTCACAAAATCCCTAAAAATTTCTGAACTTATAATTTGGAGTAATATTAATTTTTAAACTTGTAGAGGTGCTTATTAATTCCTAAACTTGCAAAATTGAACACGTTAAATCCTAAACTTGTTAATCGGTTCCTTAATCGTCCATATCGTTATTTGATAAAAAAACGAATTGACCGATCCGACGTGGCGTGTGACGTGGCGGTAATTTTCTGAGTTGGCTCACCACGTCACGCGCCACGTCGGACCGGTCAACTCGTTTTTTGACTAAATAACGCTGTGGACAATTATGGAACCGTTTAACAAGTTCATGATTTAACGTGTTCAATTTTGTAAGTTTGCGAATTAATAGGCACATTTATAAGTTTAGGAATTAATATTACTCCAAAAGACAAGTTCGAAAATTTTTAAGATTTTTTCTCTAAAAAAATAAAAAGATAAGATAACGAGTTACAAGAAGAGGAGTAGCCTAAGTAAGTAGTATTGCTAATGTGAACTGACAAATCATGACATAGCCTAAATCATGTAAAAATATACACACAAATATACATATATATAGGGTAAAACCCCTAAAAAAACCTCCAATTTGCAAAAATATATACAAATAAACCTTCAACTTGAAAAACTGTTATTCAATCCTCGAACTTGTAACTTGTCACTGAATAAAACCTCGAACTTGCAAATTATTGCTCTAATAAACCTTTGATTGGTTTGACCACAATTTCAAACGATCGGAAATCCATGTATTGACGGATTACTGATGTCATTTTTTAAATTAAAATTGATAACGTGTATAAGATGACATCAGCAATCCGTCAATACGTGGATTTCTGATCGTTTGAAATTGTAGTCAAACCGTTCAAAGGTTTATTAGAGCAATAATTTGCAAGTTCGAGGTTTTATTCAGTGACAAGTTACAAGTTCGGGGATTGAATGACGGTTTTTCAAGTTGAATGTTTATTTGTATATATTTTTGCAAGTTGGAGGTTTTTTTAGGAGTTTTACCCATATATATATAACGACTTTAGTTATATAATTTTAGACCCAGATGTTTAGATCTTTTACAATAATTTCGAAATAGAGGAAACACGAACTTTTTTTAAGTTATAAAAAACATGCAATATCACACCAGTACATTTTGTTATAATAACAACTATATTTTGTTATAGAGAAAATAATCGAATAGTGGTAGTTTTTCTATTAAATATTCAAAATCTAAATTGATTATGAATTGTTTTAGAAAAAAAATATATTAAAAAAGATATTTGAAAAAAAATACATTTAATTTAGAAATATCCTTTTTAATATAATTTTTTCTAAAACAATTCATAATCAATTTAGAAATTAAAAGATACTCATACTTTATTAACAAAAACCCTAAAAATTCATGAACTTGTATTTTGGACTAATATTAATTTCTAAACTTGTAGATGTGCCTATTAATTCCCAAACTTACAAAATTGAACACGTTAAATCCTGAACTTGTTAAACGGTTCCATAATCGTCCATAGCAATATTTGGTCAAAAAAATAAGTTGACCGATCAGACGTGGCGAGCCGACTCAGAAAATTACCGCCATGTCACCTGCCACGTCGGATCGGTCAATTCGTTTTTTTGACCAAATAACGCTATGGACGATTGTGTTTCGTTTAACAAGTTCAGGATTTAACATGTTTAATTTTGCAAGTTTGAGAATTAATATGCACCTCTACAAGTTTAGGAATTAATATTATTCCAAATTACAAGTTCGAGATTTTTTAGGATTTTTTTCCTAAAATAAATAAGTAGCCTATTAATTTATTAATTAGATTTGAATTAGATACATATGATAAATTATCAATTTGATTATAGTTAGAAATATATGATAAGTTTCATTAAGAAAAGAAAAAGTGAACTAGAATTCCACCCGAGTCAATATATACTTAATTTGAACTTTAGTGTTTGCACTATAAATTACTACTCTCATTTTTTCCTCATTTTATATTTTCATATTTACATCTAAAAAAAAAATCAAATGACGAAACTCTCTACAATCTTCATCCTACAATCTTCATCCTGTTTGCTATCCTCGTGCTATTTTCAGGTTAGATCTGATTTGATTTAATGTATTCATAAATAAAACAATGCTTAGAAAGGTTTTTTTCAAACTATATAGATATATTTTCATATCTCATTATAACTTTTATGTATGTATATATATCTATATATATTCCACTAGAATTGCATCGCATCGAATGTCCTGATAATCTTATGTATCCTACAATATTTTTTCTTTCAAAAATATCCCTAGTAACAATGGTTGGAATATTCACATTTATATTCGAAAAATAAGAGTATCTTATTTTAAGATTGTATTCAAATTCAATATTTATAGATATTCGAAATATGAATATCCGAGATAATAATCAGATATTTGAAATAATAGTATCTATCAATAGCGGATCCAAAGAAAATGATGAAATGGAGCAATAATTTTATATATGTGATTTTATCTTGACAAATTTTATTTCAATAGGGCATTTAACATTTTTATCTATAATTTTATAAAATTTATAAATAAAGTTAGATATTTTTTTAATTAATTACGGGGTTGTGACCCACATCCTATAAGGTGGGACTGGGTTGGGTCTGCTACGGGCCAGTATCCACGTTTATTTAATAATAAATAATGATTTTTATATAGAAACTAAAATAAAATAAAAAATTAAAGTGTGATTTTACAAAGAGAATACATGAAAGAGGGAGCTAGCGAGAGACAGAAAAATGAGTGTAGTGGCATGAAGACAAATTGAAAAATGTAGAATTTTTAAACCTAAAATAATGATTTTTGTTTAAAAAATTATAAATATTTAGGATATAATTGTTTATAACAAAAGTATTCAGATATCCAACAATACTCCTTTTTGAAATCACGTTAACCGGATATAAGATTCGGAATCTAGATTTTTGTGGATATTCGATTTTACAAAAAATTTGTCAAGCCCTATTAGATAAGTACCAATTTAGTTGACACATATTCAATATTTTAACACGCATATATATAAAAAACAAATCGACAACTATGAACATGACGTATATGATGATGATGATGACGTGGAAAAAAATGAAGGTGAGACCAAGGTGGTAAGGAGCCGTGAAGGTGCGGTGGCGGCAGGAAGGCGGTGAGGGAGACATCGTCGCAGTGCGTGGTAGGGCTCGACGGCTGCTCCACCGACTGTTCCGACTATTGCTGCAACATCAAGTGTTTAATGGCACACTCCAACGGTCGCGGTTACTGCGATAACATCGGTTCCATCTATCTCTATAACTGCGCTTATGATTGCTGATTCATCATCATCATCATGGTGATCAATCATGATGCCATTCCTAACCTATATCTATATGGTAGAATAGACCATAAATGTGAGATTTAGTTCGATTTCATGCCAATAATTGAAATCTGAAAATTTTCATATAGCATTTTCGGAATTTAAAAATTTGTATCCATGTCATCATGATGATCATGGCGACTGCCATTCGGAATCTATTTCCATATGGCCCAATGTTGCATGTACGAGGGCCTTATTTCAATGAATGGAATTATGGAATATAATTTTTTTTCACGCTCTTTCAAGATTTTAATATTGCATCAATATCATGATGTTCATGATGATGATGCCATTCAATATGGTCCAATGGAATATACGTGGGCTGTCTCGGCCCTGTTATTTTCGGCCCATGTCAATAATTTGGGATATATATTTTTTTCTCTCTATCTGCTTGTTTTAATGTTATCTTTCACAATTGAAAATTTCATTTTGTATCGATGTCATGATGATTGTGATATTTGATGATGCAATGGAACATATATGTGGGCTTTATTTTGGGCCTGTTGCTTTGGGCCCAGGTCAATAATTTGAAATAAAAAAATTTCTACAACCGTCTGAGCAAAATCAGGAAATTCAATGCCATAACTAATATTGGGTCAATAAATAGGGAAACCTAATTGGTAATTTAAGATTAAATTTACAGAGATGCAAATACCTTTATGTTATGGTATTCTTTTTTATTAGATAATATAATCTAAACTCTTACCCTATCAGTTCTACCAAGACATCAGTTTTTCATCTGTCTACATCAAATGTATCATTTCTTACATGTTACAAATTTTAGAATATTATTGTCACAAGTATCCATTACAATGTTTTTTTTTTCATTTTTATATCTTATATTTGAGTCTTTAAATAGGATTTGGTTACAACAGATGAGGGCAGTTGTCAATTCCTTTTTTAGGTTTTTTCTCCTTGTAATGTTGTTCGATTAATTGTTAAAGGTTGTATCACCCGTTTTTGAATGATATATATACGATGATATTGATTTTTTTCCTCAATCATTATAATAGATTTTAAAATCCGTCGTCTGGTAGTCAATAAGAGTGAAATAGTTTATTAATCATATTCAGTTTGATTTGAAATAAATTGGACTAATTACACCATATTGACAACATAAGAAAATACTTACATCTATATATAAAATAATAATATATTTATTCAATATACAACTAAGTCATATTTTAAAAAATATATTTATTAAAGAAAAAATATAGTTAATATATTTAAAATTAAGTTAAACCCCATAAATTAAACAAAATTAAATGTTTTTATATAATTTTATAATGATTGAGAATCATCTGAATTTTCAGAGGTTTTAATTTTTAAAATTTTAAAATTTTTTAAAAATATTTTATTTTATGTTGGTAAAAAAGCATAAAACTTTTATAGAAAAATTAATTTATAAACCATACAAAAGGAAGGACAACGAAAAAATGTAAGTTAATGCTGAAAATGGAAGAGAAAAAAAGCTACTAAAGAAAATAAGATTAGTAATTTTCCGTTTAGAGATAATTTGATTTTTAATTATAAAGAATAAAAAATTTTAAACAAAACAAACAAATACTCTATTAATTTACTAATTAGACTAGAATTAGACACATATGATAAATTATCAATTAGATTATAGTAAAAAATATATGATAAGTTTTATTAATAAAAGGAAAAGTGAATTCGGATTCCAGCCTAATAAATTATATAAGTATATATTTAATTTGAACCTTGCACTATAAATACCTACTCTCATTTTGACGCCTCCTTCACATTCATCCATCCCTCATTTTATATTTTCATATTTACATCGAAAAAGAAAAGATAAATCAAATGGCGAAATTCTCTACAATCTTCCTCTTCTTTGTTGTCCTCGTGCTATTTTCAGGTTAGATCTGATTTGATTTAATATGTTTATAAATAAAATAATGTATTACGTATATATATAATTATTTTTTATACAATTCGATGATTTATATTAGAAATCATAGTATAAAAAATTATAACTTTTATGTGTGTGTATATATGTATATTCTACTTGCATAGCATCGCATAAATGCCCTAACAATCTTGTGTATTCTATAATTTTTTCCTTTTAAAAACTATTTAGGGTCAGAGTATTCAGATATATATTCGAAAAAATATGAATATCTCATTTAGATATTGTATTCAAATTCAATATTTATAGACATTGGGATTGCGAATATCGGAGATAATAATAGGGTATTCGAGATAATAGTATCCACTTTCATTTAATAAAAAAATAACGATGTTTATATAGAATCTAAAATAAAAAAAAATTAAAGTATGATTTTCGGAAAATTTCCCTATTAGATAAGTACCAATTTTATTTTATTTTTTGGTAAAAAAAGATAAGTACCAATTTAGTTGACACATATTCCATATTGTATACACATGTACGTATATATATATACACTATAAAAACAAATCGACAACTATGAATGTGACGTGTATGATGATGATGACGTGGGAAAAAATGAAGGTGGGGCCAAGGTGGTAAGGGGCCGTGAAGTTGCAGTGGCGGCAGGAGAAGAGAAGGCGGTGAGGGAGACATCGTCGAAGTGCGTGACAGGGCTCGGTGGCTGCTCCGCCGACTGTTCCGACAAGTGTTTAATTGCATACCCCAACGGTCGCGGTTACTGCGATAACATCGGTTCCATCTATCTCTGTTACTGTTCTTACGATTGCTGATTCATCATCATCGTGATGTGATGATGCTGAGAAATCATGATGTCATTCCCAACCTATATCCATATGGTAGAATAGACCATAAATGTAGGATTTATCTCGATTTCATACCAATAAGTGAAATGTGAAATTTTTCATACAGCATTTTCGGAATCTAAAGTTTGTTTCCATGTCATCATGATGCCATTCGGAATCTATTTCCATATGGTCCAATGTTGCATATATGTGGGCTTTATTTTGGGTTCATTTCAATGAATGAAATTTTCAAGATTTTAACTTTGTATCAATATCATGATGTTCATGATATTGATGCCATTCAATATGGTCCAATGGAATATACGTGGGCTTTATCTCGGGCCTATAATTTTCGGCCCATGTCAATAATTTGGGATATAAATTTTTTCCCCCTCTCTGTTTTTTTTAATGCTCTCTTTTAAAATTGAAATTTTGTATCAATGTCTCGACGATCGTGTTATTTGAAATTGATGATACCATGGAACATATATATGGGCTTTATTTTGGGCCCGTTACTTTGGGCCCAGGTCAATAATTTGATATATAAATTTTTCGACAGCTATTTTTTTCTTACTCTTTTTTTTTGATAAATCTATTTTTTTTTCTTACTCTTTCAAAATTTAAATGTTTGTACCATATATTATGTGTCGTATAAATATTTTCCAAACTAATCAAAGATAAGATATGGTACTTTTGAAATAAATCTCTCAATAAACGATATGGATACAAAATATATCCATATGTAAAACCGTTACTCTCAGATTTATTAGGATCTAAGGCAATATTAAATCATTTAGTTTTCTTACAAAAAAAAACTTAATAATCAAATTGCACGATTTAATTGCTTCAAAATGAACGGACATTAATTAGGTGTTGGTCTAACAAAATATAAATAAAAACACCATAAAAAGAAAGATTTGTTCTTTATCTCAATTGCAAGCATGATACATACATGAGAGAGAGACGCGGGATAATATTAAACGCATTTAATTAAAAAAATATACGTCTAAATAGAAATTATTATTATTAAAAATATATAATTTAGAACTAGTGTGATGCAATAATATTAATACAAGCCAACCAAATTTGGCCTCTCTCGCCTATAAATATGTTGGCATCAGACGGAGCGAATTGCAGATTCAGAGCGCGTCTCCACTGTCCCCAACGTTAGTGTTCATTCAATCTGGGCCGTCGGATCCCTCACTGGCCCCAAATCCAACGGTCCAAATCCAATCTGACCGCTTCTCTCTCACCCACCAGAAGTTCCGTCAAAAGCTCCGTGAAATCGCCGAATTCGAAGAAGAGAGAGAAACAAAAGACCAGATCTCCGATCTCCGCCTCCGTCGCCGTCGGTTTCCGCCGATAAAGCCGCCGTGTCGAAGTATTTTCTCCTCCCCTATTTTCCTCGCCGGAGCAGTATTTCCGTCGCCGAGGCGTCTTTGGCCATTCCTCGTGTTCGTCGATCCGGGAAAACCCTAGCGGTTGCGACCGATTTCGCCACTGGTTCGTTAGCTCGATCTGGATCTTTAATTTTTTTTTCTTCCTTCGTTTTGTATCCGTTTGAAGGCGATGCGTGCTCGGCTATATTGAGTTTACCTATGGTCTTTTGTCGCCGGTTCGATGATTAATGTGATTTATGTTTGTATTTGTTGGGTTGATCACTATTCTTAGCTCTCACCTTGCTTTTATTTTTGGAACGTTCGTCAATTTCTTGTTTCTCTTTGGAGCCGTGGATTGTTACGAATTTTTTTTTTAAGACTAGTACATGATTCTGATTACTCAATTTTTGCTGCGTGGAATCTCTGATGGTCTTTTTTTTGCGTTAGCAATACCTGTTAGTACCGGAAATTTAGTGTGTTCCCAAAAAATGACAGAAAGGCAGGAGGAAAATCTGGCCTGAGGCTTGACTGTGGATTAGCCGAGGTGAATTAAGATATCGTCATCCTTATTCTCGTTAATTAAGTGCAAGTGCTTGTGTTCATTTGCTGTGAAATCGAGGAATAAAGTTGGATGTTGCATCCGTTTGGGCTTTTGAGTGAGTTGCTTATTTTACTACTCATATTTCCTTGTATCACATTCTATATGGTGGTGTATTCATTAATTGTGGTTTCTGTTGCGTTTATCATTCTTTTGCAGAAGCTGCTGTCTTCCAGAGGGAAAACATCTTTTGATTCCTTTTCCTCTGGCATCTTATGTGCGTTTTCTCTCAGAAGAAAGACAACGTACCACTTGCATTTTCTTGGAATCATTCTCCACTGTTTATGACTATACCCAAGAGATGGGTTCTCGAGGAAAACTGCTATTTGATCTTAATGAACTTCCTGCAGAAGATGATGATGGGTATGAGCATGAAACTTGCAGTCAACCTCAAAAGGTTATCCCATCTGCAAACCCCAATATTTCTGGTTTGCGTGCAACACCTGCCAGTTCCCAAGATATTGTAAACAATTGTGCATTCTCACATTCATCAACAATTTCTGGTTTTCAGCCTTTTCTCCGCCCTCCTCAACTTCTAGATATGTCAGTCGAACAACAGAAGGAAGAAGATACATATACTTTCAAGCCTGCAGTATCATTGTCATCATCAACGCCAGACACATTTAAGGAATCAAAAGTTGCAGCATCAATAGTTCCTAGTTCTAATGATGTTGAAATTTCTGAGAGAGAAGAAGGGGAATTGACTGAATCTGCGTTTCCTGCTAATGGAAATGTGCAGGATAACTCTGATTACAAGGGTTCAGGGTCACGAGAGCAGGAGATGCATGAAACTGGCGCCTCTTCTGATGATTCTAAAGTTATAGAAAAAGATAATGCCATTGTAGGATTAGATCATGATCAGAACTCTAGTCTTCAAAAGAAAAACACCAACGATATTTCAGAAGGCAGTGCTAAAGGCGGTGTTGATGGTCCACAAGAACATGGTATGCCTGTGAAGCAGAGAGAAATCAGAGGAGTTGAAGCGAGTCATGCATTTAAGTGTGCAAACACCACAGTCAAAAGGAAGATGGATCAACATAAAGAGGCAATGTTGGGGAAGAAACGCAATAGGCAGACCATGTTTCTCAAATTGGAAGATGTCAAGCAAGCTGGGCCTATTAAGACATCAACGCCTAGAAGACAGAATTTTCCCCAGCCTGTCATCACGCGTACGGTCAAAGAAGCCCGTACAGGTCCTCCTGCTGAGCATGGCAGAGAAAATCAAAGTCATGTCTTAAATAGGGATCAAAAACCGATTGATGCACCCTCGAATGGAGGTCTTCATGAATCATCTGAACTGAAATCCGAATGTAACGGTGAATCATATCCGGGATTACTTTGTAGACCTAGGAGGCTGAACGGGGATGCAAGAGCTTCTGCTGATGTGACCGAGACATCTGTGTTGAGGCAGGGTCCATGGAAGCAGCCAGCAGATTCAAGGCAGCCCAAGATTGGTCAGTCATCTAATAGACAAGTCCCCTTAAGTAGCCAAAGTTCTATAGACCCAAAATTGGGGAACAAAAAGGTTGTTCCTTCCAAAAAGCCAGCCACAACTAGTGCCCAATATCAGGACACGTCAGTGGAGCGTCTTATACGGGAGGTCACCAATGAAAAGTTCTGGCATCATCCAGGTACATTCTAATCTTAAACATCAATCTGCTTGAGTGGCCCGTCCTTTCTAATAAGTTATCCGATCTCGACTTAAGGTAGGGACTTTATGCCCATAAAAGATTTACAGCCTCCATAATTTTGCATGCCAGTTCCCTGTGTCCTGCAATCATGATTCATGACTCAAATGAGAATCGTACTGGCCAAAGGACATGGAAGGTGACGACAAATATACACATACTTGTAGAAGTAGATGAAACAATCCTTATTATTTATGTTAGTTTTGTGATCTACTTGATCTTGTTTCATCCAATGCTTTTCTTTAGTAGAAGAAGCTCTCGCCTGTTACATTGTAATTAGCAGTTTATAAAAATGTCCTAGGTTTTTGTTTGATGGTCTCTTACTAGTTTTTCCATCGTTGCTGTTGCTATCCTGTTGAGACATGGAACACATGGGAAACTTAAGAGCTTATGTTTTTAGTTGTGCAACTTGTTTGACTTTTGTTATGCCTGATTCCTGGTTGATCGGAATCAGTTACCAGACCTGAATTTCAGGCTGGCTTTTGGTGTTTTGATCTTCTCATTGAGGTGGGTTTTTTCAAATATAATAAAAAATAAGCCTATTGTATTCTTTGTCTAAAAGATGGTTGGCCTTTTAATGGCAATGTTAGGTAATGCATTAGCTTTAGGGTTGACATGTCTTTAGCCTTTAATGTAGACAGCTTGCACACATTGTATATGAATGCGGGGTGATTCACTTGACATTTAGTATGGCTAGTGGTATCCCGAGTATTTCATCTTCTCTACTTTTTTGTTTCTCCTATGGTTTATTCCTGTGGTCTTGCTAGCCTACGTTTTAGTTGTTACATCTAGTGTTTTATAACTTTTTTCTCTCCTGAATCAGAGGATACCGAGCTTCAATGTGTTCCTGGACTGTTTGAATCTGTGGATGAGTATGTCAGAGTTTTTGAACCTTTACTTTTTGAGGAA